AATAGATCAGACTGAACACTGAATTTTAAATATATTATTAAACACTGTAATGTACGTTTATTTCTTTTTGCTTTCAATTGATTAGATAAGACTGGACTTTACATAAATACTTATTAATCAGCATGGGATTCCGCTAGGTAATATTCTAGATCCAATTTTATTTTAACTTGCTATACATAAATGACCTTATTATAATAGTATATTTTATTATATTAATAATATTTTATTCCCAGATATATTTTTAAAAAGATAAACTACCCTAAAAAGGCAGTGATAGCAAAGACAGTGGCAGCCCGACTGTAACGCTCTCGCATGGGAAACCAAGTGAAGCGGGTTCAAATCCCGGGTCTTGCACCTCTAATATTCGCAAGTGCAAATCATTTTCAATATGATTCTCACTTGTCTTACGGTAAAGGAAAACATCGTGAGGAAAGCTGCATGTCTGAGAGAATTTTGCAAGTTTTCGAAAGACATGTGAAGTCTGCTCGCGTGGCGTATACGCACTTGGCCCGCGTGGTGGATTATGGTCTATTTCTGCCTGTATTGAAGAGAAGTTTGTGCCCAGACGTTAAAAAGGGCTGAATACTATTACCATACGGGTATCGGTTTGAAGATATGGCCAAAAAAAAATAAAAAAAATACTAGTTATATTGTAGAATTTCTTGTTAAGTTTTTAGGCAAGCAAGAAGAATTATATTCCGAATCGGTCGTAGCTTTATCATGTCATTTAATTTAAACTAGCGACTCACCCTCGCTCCGTTCGGGTTCATACCTACTTACGATTTTTTTTATAAATATCTCAGAGATGAGATATGTTCCCGCAGTAAAAAGTATCATCATACCAAATTTCATCAAAATCCCACCTGTAGTTTTTCCGTGATGCGGTGACAGATAGACAGACAGATAGACGAAAATTCTAAATTTAATTTCCCGCACTTGACCAGCGTGGTGGACTATGGTCTGATCCCCCTCGTATTGAAGGGAGGCTCACGCCCAGCAGTGAGACGTTAAAAAAAATAGGGGGCTGAATACATACATAGTAATGAGACCAAGCGAACTCCCAACATTAAAATTCTCAAGGTCATATAGAGATTTTTTCAAAATAGAATCAAATATGCGCACTAAATCTGTTCATTTTGTATGTTTTTATTCAGCTCTGTACGTTTTGGTACGTGACGTATCTCTGTAGAGGTTAATCTTTGGTAATCGGTATAGTTTGTTTATGAAAATGTCAGAACAATGGTGGCATTGGATTGATTTCATCAAATTTATTTCATATTTCAGAACAGAAGGTCAATGTAAAAAGTTCGAAGATATTTCGAAGATATTTCGAGTGTTTTTATTTAGTGAAGCGCGAACCGTAAAACAGATTTGGATAACACTTGACATATTAATATATAGATCTTATCCTGGACACTACTTCCTAGCACTGAAATATATTTTTATACTAGCGACTCACCCTCACTCCCGTCGGGTTTGTCACTAGTTACGTTTCAACATTTTGTGCGTTCCCAGACAGACAGACAGTCACAGAAGAATTCAAAAACTACAGATTCGGCCTCTGTATCGATAATAATGTTTATTTCAATAAGATTTTCCAAAAAAATTTAATACACAGATTCGACTCAGAATTTTATTGTATGTATAAATAAGATATCGGTAAGAAATAGTTATAATTTCGTACATTTACGCGAATATTTTTTCGCGGATTTATTTTGATTATAAGTTTCTGACGTCTCGAATGCTTTACAGCGATCATGATCATAGCAGAGACTGACTGAGAAATAGTAGTTTCCGTATGATAATAGTACCACTTAATGCAACTTTAACAAAGACAGAGTTGACATTACTCAAAAACGTAGAAAAAAATATATATAGATATATATATATATATATATATATATATATATATATATATATATATATATAAATATATCTATACATATAATAAAATTGTAACTAAGTCGAATCTGTACATTAAATATTTCTTGGAAAATCTTATTGAAATAGACATTATCGATACACAGTCCGAATCTATAGTTTTTAGAATTTTTGTCTGTCTGTCTGTCTGCCTGTCTGTCTGTTACCGCATCACGAGAAAACCACTGGACAGATTTTGATAAAATTTGGTATGATGATAGCTGGTTATCCGGGTCAACATATAGGCTACTTTTTACCGCGGGAAAATATCTCATTTCTGAGAAAAAATACAAAAACTGCAACGTAAGAGTATACTAATATGTAAAACCTAAGGATTTGGTTTTTCGTCATCTGAACGCGGGCGGAGCCGCGGGCATGCTAGTATAGATATATATAAAAAAATAATGCAATCCAAGCCACGAGTCAAAATTAGTATAAATGATTTGGCGAATGCCGGCAGATTGTAAACATCGCACTTTCAGCGTCATTGAAGCATGTCTAGAGATTCCGGTGTAATATTTAAATATAAATTAGCACTTTACACTTTACATACACTTTACGACATTAGGGTTCCGTACAATCTATACTATAATAAAACTGTAGAGGTCGAATGTCTGTACATAGAAAAAAAATGCTAAAAACCGAGTCAGGGGGATGTAAGAAGACAAATAAAACAAATCCAGATTTTTTTCAATTTTTTTGTTTCTCTGTCTGTTTGTCTGTTTGTACGGGCTAATCTCCGAATCTATTGGACCGATTTAAATGAAATTTAGGATGATGGTACCTTATATCCACGGGCAACATCTTAGATACTTTTTATCCCGGAAATTTAAATAGTTCCAACCTGAGCGAAGCAAGGGTGAGCTGCTAGTTTGGAATAAAAAAGAGGATATTTATAGTAGCTCATGTTATGTAACAATAACTGTCTTCCCATCTTAAACATACTGTTTCCATCGAATGTAGTAGACGGAGATTGATAAAATTCTTATGGATGGGATGGTACATATGGATTTAGATAAATCTCCAATAAATGTAACTATAGAGGAAATGAAAAAATTAAACGAAATAGCTTCTAAACTCCTTTGGATTTATTTCTTCAGATTTTTTTGCGAATTTATTTTGATTATTATTGGTCAAATATTAGCTTCGATCAACAGTAGTATTGTTGAAGATTATTTATTGTAGAGTATTTATTGAAGATCAAGTGAATTATATTATTATGTACTCACAATAATTATTTATTAAAGTAAAGATTTCGTTATGTAAATTTTTTTATTAGCTTAACTTGAGAGTATAAAATCAAGTTTAGGAAGGCTATCTACACATATATACATACATATAATAAAACTGTAGAGGTCGAATGTCTGTACATAGAAAAATAAAATGCTAAAAACCGAGTCAGGGTGATGTGTTTCTTTGACTGTTTGTCTGTTTATACGGGCTAATCTCCGAAACTGTTGGACCGATTTAAATGAAATTTTGAATGGTGGTGCCTTATATTGCCGGTCAACATTTGAGATACTTTTTATTCCGAAAAATTAAAAAGTTCCGGTGGGATAGTAAAAGAACTATAGTAACTTATACAGCTTAGTACAGAACAACTTATGCACCTAATTTAGTAAAATTTGGCATGCTGATACCTTATATTGCCGGTCACACAACAGGTGATTGTCAATCTTGCGCTTTGGCCGCTTGACCGCGATACTTATGCCCGAGAGTTTTGCGTAGGATAATGCAAAAGAAAACCGGATGAAAACTCGAAAAAATGCATTTTCCTAGACATAAGATTAATCTAGATCGAGTTTTCGCCCCCGGAAACCCCCAAATACCAAATTCCATCAAAATCGTTAGAGCCGTTTCCGAGATCGCCGGTATAAATAAATAAATAAATAAATATACAAGAATTGCTCGTTTAAATATATTATAGATATTAGTATGAATTAACAAGACATGTAACCGACAACACGACGACGGCAGATCTCAAATTACACAATTAAATTTAACCGATCCGTTTTTACACAAACATCTGGAGACGTTTGAGAGAGAGGCACTAGCTCTCAAACTTTAACTGCACTGACAAAGAATATTATATATAATATTATCGTCTTACCCTCGCTTTGCTAGGTGTGTCCCTAAGCTTGAATGGTTTTGCTAAAAATGCATAAAAGACAAACGTCCAAAGACTTTTCTTTCCTCCAGGAATCTTCGCAGGCGTATACAAAGTAACCCACCAGAGTTTCATCACAATCAAAACATTGGCTTAGGAACGCATAGAGGACAAACATACGAACATTCATTTTTATTTATGTAAACAAATCAGACTTATTATAGGTGCAAAAATTTTGTGTATGTTTGTTACTTCTTCGCGTTAAAAGTAAGGGTATAAGCTGGTAATATTAAATATGTATCTAGGTCTATCTTAACACAAGTGTAGAATTCTATTCCAGGACCATACCGAATATAATATTATTTATACAAATAATTTTTAAATATTCGCATTAAGAAAATATTATGAGATACCAGAATACTATAAAGTTATTGATCTATAGTTTAGTTAGAGTTTCAAAAAGTAAAGCTGAAGACTACTAAATTGTATGTATATACGAAAGTTTGTATGTTTTTATATTTATGTTACTTTTTCACAATGAAACAACTTCACAGATTTAGATGAATTTTAGTACGGAAATAGATTATAAGCAGGAGTAAATAAACTTTGACATTATATGGGTGTATTTTTTGTTTATTTTTGAAAAGTTTGAGTATCAGTATCGAAGTGGGGCTCTCACCGTCACGTTGGCGGGGCGCCAGGCGTCTAGTGGATACCTCTTACAATATATATTACATATGTCTATTATTTTAAAGCATATTATTGCATGCCAATTAGTTAAAGTAAAATATTTTAGAAAGTAAACGATACAATAACAAGCTTAACCCCATAACTTCATCCACACTGAAACGATGAATAAATAGTAAGTTGCATTCGCGTATCGTGGGTTCATCACTTTAAGTAAAATATATTTCTGTTATATTTTTCTAAACAGGTGGTATGTGGGACTCACCGGCTAGAAAAGCCAGTACTACCCACTAAAACCCAGCAGAACATCCCGTCTTAATGCGCTTGCACTCAACCACGATGCTGAGATGGGTCGCTTCCCAGTGTATCTTTTGGCCTTACGCCCGGCTGGATTGCCGGACGCACAGTGTTCTTCACATAAATGGAGCAGATGCGAAGGTTGGTCAATAACTAGCTAATTAATTTACATACAATACATATTATATACATTACTATTGCATATTTTCCTTATTGAAAAACCATCACCGCTTAATTCCAAGAACAAAATGCCAGTAACCGAAATAGCTGCGCACGCGGCGCATAAAAATTTACAACTTCTGAAGCATTGCTGTAAATTAACTGATTGTAAACAAACTACTATTTTTTTAGTTTATCTCCGACTAATTAACAAATATTTGACGACACGTTTTGCTCAGTTTGTAGTGACCCTACTTGCTGTGCCAGCAGTCGTGGGTTCGAGGTTCATCAGCGTCCGGTAATCTAGCCGGGCGTGAAGCCGAGAAAGATTTTGGGAAGTGGCCCACTTCGGTGGGCGGTGTACTATGCGAGTTGCTGCTGGTACTTCTCTGATATCAGAGTGGACCGAAGGAGTGATTCCTTGGTTGTGTGATATGCTTGGTTCAGTGCGTGAGTGATCCTGATTTTGAGATTCCGTTGGGTTTTAGTGGGTAGTACTGGCTTCTCTAACCGGTGAGTCCCACATAGCCACCTGTATGTATGCAGGTGATATGTGCAAATGCGTTTTATTAAAAAACTTCATTTCAACTTACAAAAAAGTTCATAGTCTATCTGTGTACAAAAGTAAAAATATCCAAATTCGTCCAGCCGTTTCAGAGTGACAACAAAACAAAGAGTGACAAACATACACACCCATACATAGAAACTTCTCGATAGTAGCAACTTTTTAGATTATTTATTGAAAAAGTTGTTGATACAACGAAGCAATTTAATGTACCTAAACTACGCGAATTAATCTAGTAACAAAAGCTAGTAGCCAATATGAACGAATCTTGAGCTGAACTAAATTAATCTAACAATGTTTTTTTCAGAACTTGGCACTCTAATTAAATTACGAAACGGAAATAGTTCCTCAAAACCCGTTACCTGAACCTGTATCTGTTGGCAACTTTTCTGTAAATCAGACGTTTTGTGTAACCAATCTATTTTAGCGTACCCAAATCCAGCGAGAGGGAAGCAAAGGTGACGGTAAAATAAAGATATAGGGTTTTCATTTCCTTTTGTGATCAAAATAGATTTTGAAGATATCTGGTGCCCGTGAAACGGTCCTAGAACTACCATCGCAACGTCCGGAACCGCTGTAGCTTAATGGAGTATTGAGTATCTCATACTAACCTGCCCTAAGAAGCAATTCTACAGCAAGAAAAAAAGAAAAACCAAAAAAGGTTACCGTTAAAAAACTAATTATGCCAGAAATAGAGCGTTCATAAAACTTTAGTTTCAGCTTTCAGGTCCGCATTACAGGAAAAAAATGACTTTTAATTATCACCTTTTTTAATAACCATTTATCATTTAGTGCGCACGTCTCAGAGATAGTATATTCTATTTAATCGTGTATTTAACGATTAGACTTTGACATATATATATATATATATATATATATATATATATATATATATTAATTAGTGAACGAAATAAATAATGTTATCAAATTGGCATTCAAATGTATATTGTACACGTCACTCGTACGTTGCATACGTATCTGCTACACTGAACCAAAGACAGGTTACAAATGTTTCGACGTCTCACCCATTTTGTCTTTCACATCCCTTTTCTTGTCAAATGCCACATAAATCAATCTCTACATTTTATTTAGCAAAGTGTACATATTTTTTGTGTAAAATAAGGTCAATATGTCACTGTCCACTGATTATCCTCCAAACCCTGAGGGAGTTGCTTGCATTTAAACTGTCAAACTTTTGGCCAACTTTTCAATGTAAAATATCATAAAATATTCAAGCACCCATATTTAGAGCTTTCTCTTTAAATACTACCTTTACAACGGGAATATGTAGAAACAATAAGTATTATTTTTTCTCGAGCAGCTTGATTGCTTTTTAACAGCCCAAGAATATTTCGATGGCCACTTCAATAACATTTTCTAAGTAGAACTGTATTTAAATTGGGACTTTCCCGAAGGACTACCGACAATGGCTCTTGAAATGTATTTAAACTGAGTATAAATTACTCCATTAACTGAATCAACTAAATTGTTCATTCTCCAGCATAATACTTTCTTAGATTTAAGCGAATACTTGACATTTTAAATAAAACTATCTTTTCGGATTTTTTCGCGAATTTATTTTGATTTTTAGTTCCCGACGTTTCGAATGCTTTACAGCAATCATGGTCACGGGAGATACTGACTTCTCCAGCAATTTGAGAAATTAGGCCACTACGTCAAACAGATGTCGAATGTTCATTTTGTTTGTATGCAGAGGTGTTAAGATGTAAAGTGCAGGTGTCGTGACTTTGACCCATTTACACCTCGGGTTCTAGTTACAGACTGAAGGTAACACTTAGCCATTTATCTTCTAATAAATTAGATGGAACATATTAAAAATTTACTAATTATCAATTTAGTTTCAAACCACATTGCATTGAGTAGATTTGAAGAGTAAAATTTAAACCACTCATACATCCTGCATCTACGATTTTTTTACGGAAAATCATAAAGAGGTCTGACTTATTGTTTAATAGAAAAACTATGATAATTGGTTTATAATTAGAGATCAAGATTATAAAGGAAGAAATAATTTTTGGACAATTGATTACCTTCACGTTTTTTTAAAGAAGTAAGATGTCTCCGAAGATCTTTTCTGTAACGTCGTTGACTTTCCAACACTAGGGGGCTATTGAGATTTATTTCAAATCAATCTCAATAGCATCCCCCTGTTAACTATTTTTAACTGAACCTTTCCTTTAATATTTTTAGGAGATTATCTGATTCCCACGGGAATACTCGTTATAATACAATAAATAAAATAAAAAAAATATATATATGATCAGAATTACTCGAAACGTGGTATTAATGCTCTTCAATAAAATTAAATAAATACGTGTTTTAGCATTTTTCGAAATTCATCCTATAAGGGGTAAAATAGGGGATGAAAGTTTGTATGTAACTACCTTTTTTGTACTTTTAGCGTGAGCGAAGCCGCGGGTTCTGCTAGTTTTAAATAAAACTATATTTTCGGATTTTTTCGCGGATCTATTTTGATTTTTGGTTATCGACGTTTTGAATGCTTTACAGCAATCATGATCACGTGAGGATAAAGCCACAGTGTTTGTTATAAAGCATTCAAAGCATCGGGATTAATTTAAAATTAGCCCTTTCTAGTTCCCAACCCAGGACCTAACAATTTCCCCCCCAACGTGCGTTCACCTTGTCGTGGTGGGGGGGCTCAGTAGTGCCCGGCAACCCAACCGGGCGCGAAGCCAAGAAACGCACAGGGAGGTGGCCCACTTCGGTGGGCGGTGGGAGGTGGCCCTCTTCGGAGGGCGGTGTACCATGTGGGTTGCTCCTGGTACTTCTCTGATAGCAGAGTGGACTGTGGAGCAACCCCGAGGTTGTTGTGGTCTGCTTCGGCAGACCTGCCGTCGGGGCGTCGTAGTTGAATGCGTAAGCGATCCTGCGACGCCCCATTAAGACGGGGGAAGGCTTTGTTGGGTTTTAGTGGGTAGTACTGGCTTCGCCGGTGAGTCCCACACCTCGTGCGTAAATGCATTTCCCAACGTTAAAAAAAAAAAAAAAAGGACCTAACAATTTGCCGCTGTAAATGCTAGTCACTAGACCAACGTTGTCAAAAATAATCTTGGTATGCATATCATCTCTTTTCATAGCCGCGTCATCTGACCTACTTTGCTCCGGCCGTTGACTTTCCAGGTAATAGATTCATTTCCGTTTCTCCATTTCCGATATATTTAGAAGACAATACGAGGTCGTGTCATTAACACTCTTTTGGGATAAACAATAAATTTTATTTCTGACGATGAGCGATGGCACACTTGTTGTTTTGTGGAATTTATGATGATTCGTTGTTTCAAACGTTATGATAATTTTTTGTTTGAAAAACTAGTAATAAATCAAATTTTATTCTTACTCAGTTAATACGTAGGAATCCTCATCTAAGTCGTCTCCGAAGTCACTTTACAGACATTATCATCCATCTGTCCTGTCCTGCACAACCGTTGTTATACACCCGTACGAATACTTTTTTTAAAGTCGTCAACCAATATATCTACATATTACTTTAATAAATATAAGTATCATATTTAAAAAAACCCCTCTGGTAATTCAAAATAAGTCTTAACGTTAAGAAAGAATCCTATACATATAAAAAAATTGTAACTAAGCCGAATCTGTACATTAAATATTTTTTGGAAAATCTTATTGAAATAGACATAGAGGCCGAATCTATAGTTTTTAGAATTTTTGTCTGTCTGCCTGTCTGTATTCTGTCTGTCTGTCTGTTATCGCATCACAGAAAAACCACTGGAGGGATTTTGATGAAATTTGATATGGTGATAGCTGGTTATCCGGCTCAACATATAAGATATTTTCACCGCGGGAAAATGTCTCATTTCTGAGAAAAAATACAAAAACTGCAATGTAAGCGTATACTAATATGTAAAACTAAAGAATTTGGTATTTGGGCATCTTAACGCGGGCGGAGCCGCGGGCAATGCTAGTTAGAATATACAATGCTCCGGATCATGTTCTATCTGTGTACTAAACATCCAAATCCATCTAAACGATCAGTGAACAAATAACAAAAACATACCATTTATTAATTTATAATTTAGCTTCATAGAAATCAAACCCGCGACTTACTACCGTAGTCCAGCGCTAGGGGTAGTAACACACCACATCCTCACAAACCCAATAATAGGACGACTAAAATAGATCCGTAGAAACAACGTAACAGCGTAAACGTTGTATGAGTCAGGAGTCGAACTTGTTTACTTTATCGTCATTCGTTAAAATATTAGAGATACCTTGATTTATAGTAATTTATATCTTTTATACGTGAAACGATTGTACTTATTGTGTGTAATGCATTCCTATAACATTTTTCGCGATAAAACTTTGGTATGGTGTTGTAATATGGATAAAAAGAGGCGGACAGGAATAAAATAGTTTTAAAGAATATATTCAGATTAAAATGTACACAAACAAAGGGTGAAATCTGAAATCTATACTAATATTATAAAGAGGAAATTTTTTTTGTTTCTTTGCACCAAATAAGCTACGAAACTACTAGCCGATTTAGATGAAATTTGGTAAGAAAATAGTTTGAGGCCCTCGAAAGGATATAGGATAGTTCTTATACAGGAAATCATCCCTTAAAGGGGTGAAAATGGGGATAATTTAGCGGGTAATAATACCATTAGGCTTTAGGTACCTGCAAAGTACAGGAAACGCAATGTACCAATAATAAAAAAAAAACAATACGACATGAAATTATATTTTGTATTGAAAAAAAAATAGCTGAAAAAAGATATTACACATATGTACATACATAACATCATATCCTATGCCTTGAGAGTAGGCAGAGGGAACAAAGTGCAAAATGCTACGATCTCTACATCATTGTTGAAAGCGTGCTTCCACGATCACTGCCTAAACTAACATTGCCCGCGGCTCCGCCCGCATTCAGATGACCAAAAACCAAATAATATTTTCCCGCGGTAAAAATTATCCTATATGATGACCCGGATAACCAGCTATCACCATACCAAATTTCATCAAAATCCCTCCAGTGGTTTTTTGTGATGCGGTAACAGACAGACAGACAGACAGACAGACAACAATTCTATAAACTATAGATTCGGCCTCTGTATCGATAATAATGTCTATTTCAATAAGATTTTCCAAAAAATATTTAATGTACACATTCGGCTTAGTTACAATTTTATTATATGTATAGATAAAGATACGAAAAATGTAGACTATGGAGCGACATATAGGCTAATGTTAGTCATCTACACTCGATATGAACAAAGGATTTAAAGTACAAAGTATGAATATGCAAATCACACCAATTATATACACATTTGCAAGACCTAGTCCACAAAACACACATCTTGTAGACCGAGATGATCTATTGACGATCTATTTAAATACTTTAGTTGGACTCTGACTCATAGTTCACACGATATGTGCAATAAAACAGATAGATACAGAACACTTTCATAGATTTATGTAGATATTTGACATTTAAAATAACTAATTTTCGGACTTTCTAGTTTGCTTTATGTCCACTACTAGCGATACACCC